GACCAATGCGAGGTCGAAACTGCAGTCCACCCAGGATGAGAACAACTTTTGGGAAAGCAAGGCTATGTGCGATTCAATGGAAAAGTCAGCTAAACTCATATCATTGTGGGAAATTTTACTACCAGTCCTTCATCACCTTACACGAAATAGGGTAAATACATCTCAAGTCGAATTTACCCACAATGATATGAGTTGAGCTGATGTTTCCATTGAATTTTACATAACCTTGTATCCCAAAAGTTGTCCTCATCCAACTACTGATTTACTGGTAGTCTCGAACCTCTACTTCAATATGAAAATAAGCACAAGTAGTTTTTACTTAACTTTTTGCAATGTGTTTTATATTCGGTTTATTTCGATGGATTCTCTAATAGCATAACCAACAAAAAGAGAAGTTTAAGACCATTCCATTTCGTGTCCACTTTCGGCCTTCTGCTCAGCTAGCTCTGATTTTTGAACCCACTAGCCTCTTCCATGAAGTATTCATCCATTCTTGGCATGTAATTATTAGCCAAAATGGGAGCCAAGCAAGATACCATTGCTAGGCCTTGCACCTGTTTATAAAATTTTTCATCTAGACTGAGTGTAAGTGCTTCAATAGCTTTATGAACTGGGATGTTAGTATACATTGATACCATATCGAAACTAAACAAAGGATCTTCCTCTTTAATAATCTGTTGATCTATTAATCTAGCAAATTCATATGAATTCTCCACTGAATATTCCCAATACTCAGCCAATTTCCTTAATTGTCTGCATACGAAACATGAAATCCTATTATTAACAATCAGCCTTAAAGGAACTCCTTCCTTGTGTATTTTTGGAAGGCCGAAAGCCGAAGTTGCTTTGGTATCCCTTTAAGGAAATTAATTCATTTTCCACTTCTCAATTTCTCCTTTGCTTACACAAACGTTAAGCGATTCCTTAAGTCTGGCCCTAAGGCTCTCTGTGTGATCCTTAACTAAAAGTCTGTAAGTTTGAGTCATTTAAATGAACCATCCTTTTTTCTACATAACTTAACCCATCCATGATGAACACTGCAACTTCTTTATCTGCCTTTAAAATAAACAGATCATTTTGGTGCAAATATCTAGAAACCTTATTTAATTCATAAGATCTATTGGGAATAATTACTTGACCAAAATTAGGGATCACTTCTCTTTCTATACTATTCTTAGCCTCGTCTGGCAGATTGTCTGTTAAGTTACTTAAGTCAACCAGTAGCTCCATGAGATAATTTTGCTCATTTGGAAAGGCAAAATTAAAACCCCTATCCAAGACGAACGTGACATTAGCATCTATAGGTATACCAGATAAATTAATGACTTTGTTTTTGAAATAGCAAATAGTACTACGTTTAACTACCACCCTAATGTTTCGACGATTCCTTAAGCTGATGTTAATGTCTGAATTCCTTAATTTCTTATCATGTCGAGATCTAGGGACCTTATCCATCCTGTACGCCAGACCGTCTGCCATATTCTGCAATTTGAGAAGGTCTTCTTGAGAAAACAACAGAGAAAGGGACTATCTAGTCTTTGTTTTGATTCTAATCAAGTCATGTAATTTGCCTATACTTTCTCTGTAGTGTAGTCTTAACCAAACCACCTGATACATCCTTTAGTTTCCTATTAGTGAAAATAGGTAAATTTGTACCTCTGCCAAGAAAATATAATCTAGGTACTACATTATGTGAAATACAAATTTTTTAAAATCGAATAGTGCTGACTTGCCGGGATATAGATTTCTTGGTTTTCGTATAGCCAGAAGGTTCAAATCCTGTTAAGGGGACTGATAAGGCTTGCCCGAGAGGAATATTGGTTTATAACACGTTTTTCCGAGTTGAAACATTCTGAAATCTGTGGCAAATTTAAGTAACATATTCAAATCTAATTAATTCCCATGCTCACCTCATCAGCACCACGAGCGGGAATCGAACCCATGAAGCGTGCACAGCACACAACTTCGACATGTTATCGCAACGCCACAATGCCATGAGCGTTACTGGGATACGGGCAGGCATGCATTTCAGGCTTAGACAGGCCTCTACCATATAGCATATTATGCTGTGATTGCCGATGGGGCAAGCTTGTATTTGCTTGTGAATCCTAGAATACTACTTATATTCGGTTTGAGTAGGCTTCGATGCTATCGGTAGATCTTGTACCAGAACCGTATTCAGCCTAGTTCACACGATGAATAAAACAATGGTATGAATGGAATGCGGCCTAGTGTCTGGTGATAATGTTAAATTCGAAAAAGCAGTTCCTTTCAGTCTAGCCCAGCGGGCGCATCTGAAAATCAAGAAGACATCATTTCAAGGTAACATTCAAGATAGCTGCATTAGGCGCCCGAACATAATTATGAATACAAACCAACTATTCGATAACTATGACAGTTCTCTTGATGTGACTAATTCATAAAAGGGAAGGTATAGGTCGAGATTTGACCATGTCAACATGTCTGTAGTATGCGGCATCCTTGCAATGGGTGCACAATCTGTCAAGCATGCAAGGCAAAATGTGCATTTTTAAAGGTGATGCAATTCGGCTGGCGCGAATTAACAGTCTTCTTTGCACTGCACAAAAGAGCCAATCAACTAGAAAAAAAGGTGTAGACGATGGCAATCGGGGCTGACGAAGATGAGCCTGTGTGCCCTGAGCATATTCAGTCACCTTTACGCATCCATAGCGTGGACTTGAGATTTTAGATTGTCTCTAAAAGGCGTCGGAGTCGCAGCGATTTAGCGCATAAGACACGCCCCTGGGGGCTACCGAGGAGGGCAGAACAACGCCCGGATCAAAAGCCAGCTCCTCAACTCGTGTTTCTAAGTCTCTGAACCCAACGGTGGTCATCGGCTGGCGTTGTCTGTCACTGCGACGACAGTTGCTGATGCCCACTGAATGAGGACAGGTATGGGACTTGGAGACGTTCAGAGTCCAACTGGATTCGCCTCGTTTCCAAGCGCCTTCGTAGTCCCCGAGGCCCGGCTCTCTGGTCTCGGGGAGTCTAGCAGCGACGGACCCCGAGTCGTGTTGAGGCTGAGGCTGTCTGGCGGAGAGGAGGGGCCCATCCATTGGATGCGGCTGTCTACAGTCCCGATCAGGCTGGCCTGTGGCAGCACTGGCTGCTGGAAAAAGGCCAATCTGATGGGTTGTGTATCGCATCTGATGAAGAGGTTTAAGTTGTGTTTTAATATCTTTTAAGATGACATCAATTCCGTCATCTTCTTGATCTTCACTCGTCACACCCTCTTGCCTTAATTCTGCATCCTCACCGGTTGTCATGGCATTCCAATCTTCTCGATTCTCGATGGGCCCAAACTGTCGCCGTCGGGCCGCGTTGCTGTCCGGATTGTGGAGCTGGTGAGCTGCTGTGCCGTAGCCCTCGACCCGCTTCCATTCTTCGAAAGCGGTCCAGTTCCTTATGGACAAGCATCGGAGGCAGATGAGCGTCTGCATCGGCCTCCCTCTCGAGGGCGGGCAGACGGGAGGCTGCGACATGAGTTGGGCGAATCGACAGGCCGGATGATGCCTGTGCACGGGCAGAAGATTCGGATGCCCCGATGCCCCAACCAAGTTGGGCGCGGAGCCAGCCAGAAAGGGGGCGGCATAAAGAGCTCGCTGGCCGGTCGTGATCTGGAGAAGGGGCAGAGGCGGATGGGCTGAGAACTGTACCTGCGCGTGCTGATGACTCTGAGGATGACTCGGAGGCTGGCGCTGTTGTTGTTGTTGATGCTGATGCAAGTGCTGGTGCTGGGGCTGGAGTTGCAGTTGCATCTGGTGCTGGTGTTGGTGTTGGTAAGGCTGATGGAGGTCACACTGATCGGGCTGTTGGGGCTGTGAATGAGGGAGAGGGGGGTGAGTGTAGGGATAGGAGGAGAACGCCTTCGGCTGGGCGAACATGGCAACGGGACAAGCCAAGTGGGTTGCCGACGCAGTGGGGAGAGGTGATTGAGACGGCGACGGCGAGGGCGAGCGAGAAGTTGAAGATGAAGTTGAAGACGAAGCTGAAGGAGAAGGGGAAATTGATGGCGAAGGTGAAAGCGAAGATGAAGGTGAGGTCGAGGGCGAATGCGAATGCGAAAGCGAAAGCGAAAGCGAAATCGAAGACGAAGACGTTGATATAGGCTGTTGTGTGAAGGATGGGACACTATCTGCGGTTAAGGCGACTGGTAAGGGAGTGCAGCACTTTAGCGTGTTCTGACGAATCTGCGTCTCCAGACGATCCAAGCCATTCGAGAAGGAGGCAGGCTCGAGGCCGTGTCGCAGCCAAGCCTGCCGGTCAGTGAAGGGGAGACTCGTATTCACGGCGTGGCTGGAGGGCAGGAGGCGAGACGGAGCATACAGGGCGGCAGATGAGCCGGAATGGTGACAGACCGTGAGCGTCGAGGCCGGCTGTGAGAGAAGAAGGTGTGATGGCAAAAGCGACTCGTTGGGGTGAGAGGGAGGTGGTGGGCCGACCTGTTGTTGGGCCGAGTCGGCCAGCGTCAGGATGAGACGAGCCTGACAATAGCCGGCCGGGGCTGGCGGCAGAGACGAGAGGCCCTGGGCGAGGGCGCAGTATGGCATGTGAAGATGCGCCTGCGGCTGGAGACGAGCTGTCGAGGAGACGGTTGCCATGAGGGGGCTTGGGTAGGCGAGTTGCAGCGGCTGCGGCCGATGGCCCTGGGCCAGTCTGAACTGGGTCTGAGGGCAGAGGTAGGCGGGCAGATGAGGCCCGGCCGCGAGGTCGCCCGACTGCCGGCTCAACTCGACAGACGCCAGCGGTCCCGAGCCCGAGTCCCGGCCCACCGAGGCCACTCTCGGCGGCCTCGGCTCACGTGACTGCAATCGGGCCGCAACGTACTCCTCGACCTCAGCTCGAGTCTCTCGGCTCGCCCGGACAGCCAGACCAGACGTCAGGTCACACCCTCGGGGCTCGGTCTTCGAGCCGGTGAGGTCGAGGCCGCCGGCCAACGGTACGACGGGATAATGCGGCCCCGGGGCCAGGAGGAGACAGTCGAGCCGACGTACCAGAGAGGCAGCTGCTGCTGCTGTTGCCATCACCGTCGACGTGGCCGTCGTCGCCGACGAGGCGTCAACTGGACCGGCGACTCCAGACGACTGGGAAAACATTGGTCCACTTCTCATGACCACCGGCTGGGCTGCTGAAACCAAGGGAACCGGAGTTGCCAGACGCGACGTCGGTTGGTCTGACCTGGCAAATCCCGGCCATCGCGGTACCTCCCTGCAGCAGCTCGAGCCCGAGTCCGCAGCAACAACAGAGCTGGAGCCGGGGCCGGTTTCGATGCTGGGGCACTGACTCGTACTCCAGCCCAGACAGCCACTCCTGGAGCAGGCCGGTTTTTTGTAGTGATAGAGCATTTAGGAAAATTCACCACATATGACGAGTTTGCATGCCCAAGGGAGGTTGCCGACTGGCCCCAAAACGATCTAACTCGGCCTTGGGGAAAGAGTCAATGAAAACAAAAGTGAAAGGAGAGGTAACACGGGAAAGGGAGGGGTGCGAATAGCCAATGAAGATAGAAGAAGCCGAGTTAATGGAGTTCATGGCCTGATTTGGAGTCCGTTCTAGTGGGTAGACTTCTGGTACATGAGCTATCGATTACTTAAGTTTCGCGTAGTCGCATGCCAACCAAGATATAGGATCGAGTCTAGATTGATGGTTGGTTGGGCCAATGACTAGCTGGTATTTTTTCAGTTTCGTGGTATTCTTTTCTCTCACAATCTAGGATGACCAGTTTGCTACGGTTCGAATCAAACTGACAGCTGACGTCATTGTGCAAGACGTCTCCATAGTCAAGCTGGACGCCTAAGCAACCCGAGAACAGGGCACGACGGTTTCCTTTTCGCCATCCATTATTTTCGGCGTAAGAGGGTACGAGTAGTGCTTGAAAAGGAACTTAGTCAGACTAGGTCACCTAAGGTGATTTAAGGGGTGTAAGTAGTGTAAGTAGTGTTTTCTCAAAACCACAAAAGGCTTTCGAATCCAGGGCAAATTGCAGTTCCGACCTCGCCCGAAATGGTCTCGTCAGTTCCCCCAACCGGATTCGGTACCAAGTCGTAGGCTTCGTGGCGACGTTACGATCATACCCCACTTTATAGCCACGGCCGCATGTGTCATTATAGGCAAGTAAAGCCAACCCAAATCACATTTCTTGTGGGTTTGTCGATTAGGCAACTATGCACTTGCCATGGCAATCGACAACGTTACTTATTTTTAATGTGACCAGGTTTCCAATATAGAATCCATTTTCCCACAATAAAGCA